AGTTGGTGAAAAAAGCAGCAACGGAGGGCACATGGGAAAATTTATCAACAATATTTGCCTTCCGGGCAAAACCAGAATGAGTTTTGAAAAAAAAACCAAAGAAGAAGAAGACAGATAAGTTTTCAAAATCTTTACTATTAACAATCACCAAATTCTGTCTGTGTGTCCGTTTGTTCCCGGTTCCACGACCCTAGCGAAGTCATTTGAAAGAAGAAAGAAAAAAGTTAAGTAAAATTTAAAATTCTGACTTTCTGAATCCCCTAACTTCTCAAAAAATGAATTTCGGAGATTCTGATTCACGAAATTTGATTATTTTTTTTCGAAAATGCGAAATTTCTAACCATTCCTATGCTTCAAACATTTTGGTTTCACTCTGAAATTCTAAAATTCTGATTCAAAAATTCGGAAAATTGGAAAAACGGGAACTCGAAAATACCGAGATTTGAAACTTCGGGAATTTTAAAGTTTGAAAATCAGAGAATTCAAATGTCCAATGTTTCGGAAATTCAGAAGTATAAAAATTCAGATATTCGGAATATTACGAAATTAAAAAATTTGAAGTTAGAACACTCGAAATTTTGAAAATCCAAAATCTCGAAAGCAAAAAACCAGAAAAACCAAAAACTTAGAAGTTCAAAATATCAGAAAGCCCAAGTTCGGAATTTAGAAAATTCGAAAATTCATAAACTTTGTGAATCAAAAACTCAGAAATGTGTTTTAGAGAAAATTCTGAAAATCTTTTCGTGTTAAAATTTTGGGAATTTGTGAAGTAGAATCTCAGAAAGTCGGAAATACGGAAACTCGAAAATACGAAATTTCAGAAATTATGAGTACTGAAATGAAGTATTTTAATAGAAAAATCTGTGAGTTCTAATCGCAGTTCCGAAAATTCAGGACTCCTGAATTTCGAAACTTCTGAAAAAATTATAAGTTGTCAAATTTCAAGATATTCGGGAATTCAGAAAAATTATTAGTTCTAAAAATTTGGAAATTTTGAACAGTTCGTGTATCAACTAAGACACATTTCTGATCTACATTTCTGATTTATCTGTCCAAGCCCAAACTCAATCGGTTAAGGGTGTTGTAAGCGGGAGCCAGAAGGTTTAGCCCCGAAGGCGCATAAGCAGACTGTCACTCCAGTTTATGAACGTTGACAACACAATCAACTAAAACTTCGTCTTCTGATTCTCTCCGATTCGGAGATTCAAACTTTTTAGTGAAGCCAGGAGATTGTAGCCGCCGACAGGCGGCGGAAATCGACTGGTAAAAAACAATTGAAAATAACAAATATCACCACAAAGATATTTTTGGATTTCCAGAAACGAGAATGAAAAGAGATGTCCGGAAGAGAAGGGATTTCAAGAAATGGAACAAAGGCACTTTTAAATATGAAAAAGAAGAAGGAAGATGCAGTTCTTCGTCACCATCTAAATTGTTTAGGCATTCATAGAATGTCAATTGAATAAACTCTAATTTAATTATTTTCATACTAATGAAAAGGATATTTTGCAGCAGCGCAGCTCTTTTTTAATGTACTCAATAACTTTCTGAGTACGAGCAAAGAGTACGAGTATGAATCATATTTATGATACCATAAAACCTGTAATAGAAGGGCCCCTCACACTTTCAAGTTTAAGTTAGTTTTTTTTTGGCTCCTATGCAAGATATCGAAAATCTTTCAACTAAAAAACACTCAAAGCTAAAACCTAACTACATATAAAGGACACTTCTATTACAAGGTTTACTGTATGTTTAAAGAGGAGTTCGAAATTCGAGCATAAAAATATTTCTTCAAGGAAAAACATAAATACACACAGGGTTCCAAAAGGCTTGGTCGGTCCCTCCAGCGAACGTGAGATTGGGGTTTCTTATTTTTTCTTTTTGTTGGCTGAGTATCAAACGTACAACGATGAGGGAAAACGCGCGCTTAAAAAAAATACGTGAATCAATTCCACGTCCACTTTGAAATAAGTAAATGTCAACTGACCTAAAAGTTATCTGGGGGGGGGGGGCGAATTCCAGCTTGGCCTTTTGGAACCATGTGAGTACAGTAAGACTATCAAGCGAACAAGAGTCACAAAAGTTCGAAAAAGTCTGCCACTCGGAATGCATGCGACAGGCATACCATTCATATGGTTAATAAACGGGGTTACTTTGAATTAAACTACAAACTACAATTTAGAAGCATTGAAGCAATAATCGAAGTTTATCTACTATAGAATATTCCTCCCGGAAACTTTCAAAAAATAAACGCAAAACTCTAAAAAAACCTCGGTGAGATCTTGGTGATCAGCTACAAATTCAATTTCTACTCGTTTTTTTTTCCGTTTCAACCCCCCCCCCCCCTCATTTTCTTTTTTCCTTTCTCAAATTCATACCCCTATTCAGGATATTATATCCTATGAGAGAATCTGTACTCAAAATGACCGTAGCTATATTTTCTCTGCATCACAACTGCTATCAACGACAGATAACGAGCAGCAAAGAGACACAGAAATGTAAGAACAAGTGATAAGTTATCAGTGAATAATTATCAATGGTATCTGTTTATGTTTGTTGGTTCTCTGTGTGTTTCACTGGTATTCTCTACACTTTTTATCAATTCGTTTGAAATTTCAAAAAGTGCTTGTATCCTAAACTCTGCGATCTTTTATCAGTTACTGTAGGTTTGTAGTTTGAAAGGAAACTTGGTGATAGTCTCTTCTGAATCACGTGAATTTCTCGCTCATGTGTTTTCAAGGGCCCGGCCCGATAGGCCCGGTATCAAAAAGCCTGCATTACAATGTCAACTTCTGAGCTTTTAATTAGAGGGCCGGCTATTTATTTTTCCAAGGTTCCTCCGGAGGGTCGTTCTATTATAGGGGCCCTTCAATTAGAGGGCTCCTTCTATTTTTCCGGTCATTTTTCCTTTTTTCCGGTCATTTTTCCTTTTTTCCGGTCATTTTTCCTTTTTTCCGGTCATTTTTTAATTAGAGGGGCCCTTCTATTAAAAGGGCCTTTCTAATAGAGGTTTTACGGTAATTTTTTTGAAGGGTTCGTTTTTTGTCTGATATGATTTCTCTATGCATTCAAAACTTTTGATCAAAATAAAAAAAAATGATTTCACTTGATACCGTGTCCGCCGGGCAGGGCTATCAAAATTGGAAAAAAATCCTGGTCCGGCCCGGTCCGTAACAAGCAAGGCTCGTATTCGAAATGATATAATTCTCGACAGAGATTCCGAAATATTACATCGAATTTTCTTTTTCTAAGTTTTGGAAAAAAAATAGGTTTAAAATGCCATTAAACAATAAAGCCCTAACGAATTTTGATCAGTTCAGATGGTTTCCGAATTTATTTCGAAAACACAATTTTTATAGAGTTTCTTGATTTTTGGTAGATTTGAAAAAATCATCATTCTCGCTACAAAAAGTTCAAATAAAGTGCAATGATGCAGCAATCAACATTTTGCAACATTTTTGCATCAACAAATTAAAGAAAAGATAAGCGAAATGATGGAGCCATTAGAAGTTTGATCGGAGAGAGGGGGCAATGATAACTTTCGAAGCATCGCATCGAAACGATTGGCCATTTTAACTTTTCACATTTCTCGATTCGAATCATAAAACATTATATTGCAAAATGAAACCCAGTTGGGCCTTTTTTGTGTTATTCTTTTGAAATTTTTTTCTAAAAGTACCGTAAAACCTGTATTAGAAAGACCCATATAATAGAAAGACTCCCTTCAAAATGTGCTGTTTGAAATGATAGGCCACCTAAAGGCCACCTCCAATTGAATTAAATTAAGGCCACCTCTAATTGAAGGGCCCCTGTAATAGTAGGTACCTTTGGAGAAAACTTGGAACAATAGAAAGTCCGGTCCTTCTCATACAAGTTTTACGTTATGTATTATATTAACGTTGACCGAAATTACTGGTTCTTCAAATCATATTGCATAATGGAAGGCGGGAGTCCCTATCTATGATAAATTTCCATGACTTACTTGAGTTGATACGATCTAAAAGTTTTTCTAAACCTACTTCTTCCGTTTGCCAGCACTTGAGAATAATGAGATCCTAGACATTCTAGAAAGGCTTTTTCTACTAAAAATCCTGTTGTTTTTTCTATTTGTTCTGACTGGAAACATGTTAAACTCAATCGAATCCTATCTTGACACTCACCAATAAAACCATTTCTCTCCCCAACTCTTCTAGATTTTCAAACGACCCACTTTGAGTTAATTCAGTGAATTCCTTCTTTTTCTCTCTCACTCTCTTGAGTCATTCTACCATTTCTTTTTACATCAGAACACTCATCCCTTCTTCGGGGATTCATTCCTTCCTTTTCTCGTTTTCTTGCTGTCGGATAATGGCTCCGTGCGGGGCCAGAAAAAAGAAGAGGGAGGCTACAAGGATAAAAGGAATTGAGAAGAAAAAAAGGATGAGAAGAGACCGGAAATAGAGTAGGAGGAGCGGATTTATGTGGAGCACATCCGGTTGTTTCCAGTCAAAATAGATACGGATATGTGTATATGTATAGGACAGGGGAAAATCAGAATCTGTGGTAATTATAGAGGAAAAAAGTGGAAATAAATAAGAGGGTAGAACAAAAAGGGTTACTGTAGTTAAGACTCGGGATATAGAAAAACCACAGTATTCATGAAAACATTGTAAAACGGTTTAATGAGATTTTGAATAACCTGGGGGCGGGGATCTTTTTGAGAGTTAGGTGACATTTAAAAAAGGTAAGTTCCTTATTTTTAGATTATTAGTGGTCCTACTTATTCTGTATGCATTTAAGATTTTTTTCAGAATCGCCAGACTGGTATACTTCTAAGAGTTTTAATCGAGATCCACAATACTTACTCTGTTTTTGTATATTATGAAGATTTAGGTTTTTCAAAAATGTTCGTCTCGTTCCTCACTCAGAGTCAGAGCTATATTCTCTATGGACCTCAATATTAATTTCTCTCAAAAATGAAATGGAGCAACTTTAAACCGTTTTTTCAGGTATCCTACAAAATGCCATTTCCACTGCTCATTTGGCTACTTTTTCATCTTCTTCCTCTACCCACTTCAAACTGCTCCAGTATAATATTTTTGAATATGTTCAACTCAAAGAGCCACGCACTAACAATGATGCCACTTGCAGAAAGGTAAGCTGAAGTATGTCACGAGATGGTGACGTGGAAAAAGTATTCTTATGGGAATAAAACGGGACGACAAAAAACTTCGGGAGAAAAAAGGTGTCAAGAATCAACCGGGGAAATGACTGAGCAATGCTTCGAAATTCGTTTCCGCTTCACGCACTCACCCGTGAAATACGATCGGACCAGGACAAAGTAGGTGAAGAAAAAAAGAAAATAAGGAGAAAAAGAAAAGGCGGCAAATTTGAAGTGGTGCATCTCTTCTTTTTGCCCCCGGAAAGAAGTGGAAAGAAGAAAAAAGAAGAGAAGGATGACTGGTGGAAAAAAAGAATGGATGCACCTCAGACGACATTTGAAATGGATGAGATTCTTGAGGTCATTTCTCAAGAGATATAGTCTGAGAAGAAACCAAAAAAACTGAAGTAGAGAGGAAGAAAAAGAATGAGTGATGTGCATTGGGACCGACAATCACAATCAATTGCACCACGAATATGAATGTGTTGGGAGCAAAATGGGCGGAATTGGGTCGACGATGGATGGATGGATATCACGTGTGGACCAGTTAGGTCATGCGATTTTGGGATTTTGAGAGACAAGGAGGATGGGTTCAAACTGAAAACAAGAAACTTCCTATTCGAAGTGTACGCAAGAATACCGTAACATCTGTAATAAAAGGGCCCCCTAACTTTGAACGTTGAGGCAATTTTTTCGATTCCTGCCAAAGATATCCAAACGTCGTCAACTGATAATTATCATAATATCAGAAACATTTTATCAGTCAACACATTTTTGGTATTTTGCATAGGAATTGAGATAATTGAGATCAAACTTGACAGTGTAGGAGCCCTGTATTAGATTGTCTCTCCGGAGGTTCCTTGGAATAATAAAAGGGGCCTTCTAATACAGGTTCTACGGTATACATTTTTTTGAAATTGTGCTAGATTCTAATACTAACTAATCCGCAAAAAGCAGAAGAAAGAGTATAAAATTTCTGAAATCAAGAACTCATCAGAAAAAATAGTATGTTTTCAGCCGTCGTTTTAAATCTTTATATCGTATGGATTCCTAATTCTATAGTGATTTTAACTGGGTGAAAATTTCAAACATTGAAAAAAAACACTTCACTTCGGAGATTATTAATTTAAACCTAATTAAAATAATTTTATCCAAACTAAATATTTTGAAATTGAAATTCGTGTTGAACCTAGAATGCAACAAGTTTTTCAAAGAGCTTCGAACTCTGATCAACTCTTCTCATCTTGCAAAATTGAGAGGATTGGGATAATCGAAAATCTCTGAAACTGTGACATTCTTCTCCCAAATGTCTTTTTTTCGAAAGACTGAGAAGAGAAAGGCCCTCCCATCACAGCAGTAAACGACTCATAAAACGGGTCGAAATCGGTTGGAAGCAAGTGATGCGTTTGGCATTGCAGTCATAGCTCCCGAAAAAATACGAGAAAAGCAGGCTTATAAAAAGTTTGATTGGTTGGGTGTGGTGCTCGTGCGCTCCGTGACTGACGTCAAAAATCTTCGGAATCGCGAGACGTTCCCCTGGGAGAAAAAAGAGAGAGTGTCTTCTTCCAAATCTTCAAATACTTTTTGACACATTGTTTACCACAGAGAACACAGAAATGAGATAGAACACATGTGATTTTTCTAAATTTCAAATTTCAAATTTCCAGATTGTCCGATGATGGCCATGATGTTTCGATGTACACGATCAGTGCAAGCAGGATGAAAATTTCGTCGTTGAAAGTGAAAATTTTGGAGTCTTTGGTAAATAAAATGGAAGGACGGACAGATGATACTGCACCAGATACCAGTGGAGTTAGCAGAATATTTTGGAATTATGAAATGGTTCCGCATTATGGATCTTGGTGCTATGAAATTGCAATGCGTTATCTTGAAGAAGGCAAAGATGGTAGAAAACTGTTGTTCTTGAATATTCTAAACCTATTTTCTCATTTTCAGATCAAATGAATGAAATACTATCCACACCTTACGATCTTGTTATTGTGGATGAAACTTATACATCTCTTCAAGGAGCAATTGCTTTGAAACTAAAAGAAAACCATGGAACTAAAATAATAACATTTGCCACAACAGGTAAGATGAGTGAATATTTTATTTTGCGAGTCAAAATTCTTAGACGACCTTGGAAACTCTTCTTCTGTATCCGCTAGTCTCTGGCTTGTTCTCAACAGCTCCAGTTCTGGCTGGGCATGGGCAGTAGGCGGCATCAGCTCCTGGTTGTCCAGCGGCTCCTTCTGGTCCAGCCTCTCCATCTTGGCCAGCTTGTCCTGGTTGTCCGTCTGGTCCTGGTGGTCCGGCTGGTCCTTGTTGTCCTGGTGCTCCAGCGGCTCCATCTTGTCCGGCGTTTCCTGCTGGTCCTTGTGGTCCTGGGGCTCCTGGAGCTCCTGGCTGTCCTTGTCCACGTTGTCCGTCCTTTCCTGGGGCTCCTGGGGCTCCTGGGGCTCCGTCATTTCCTGGTGCTCCGGCGTCTCCTTGTGGTCCGGCTGGTCCTGGAGCTCCTGGTTGTCCGGCTGGTCCGTCTTGTCCTGGCTGTCCGTCTGGTCCTGGGGCTCCTGGAGCTCCATCTGGTCCAGCTGGTCCTGGCTCTCCGGCTGGGCATTTGATGCATCCGGTTTCTCCTTCATGAGAGATAAGAGAGATTCCGTTAACTCCAGCCTTTCCAGCCTCTCCTGGGTGTCCATCATCTCCTGGTGCTCCTGGTGCTCCTGGTGGTCCTGGTGGTCCAGCTGGGCAGTTGTTTGGCTGAGCTCCACAGTTGCATTGCCCGGCTTGACGCTTTTCACGTCCGAAGATAGCACGGAGGTTGCTCTGGTTATCGAGGGATGGGCGGGTAACTGGGATCATATCTTGCCAGGCGTTGTTAGCGAACATCTAAATATTGATGGTTCGTAAATTGTATCTAGAAAATTTGAAAACGAACCTTGAACTCATCCATATCATCCATGACGTTGTCATACAAGTCATTGATGTCTTTGAAAATAGCACCAACTGTGAAGAGGCAAGCTACGATAGCAAGCCCAGAGAAGATAGAAGCGACAGTAACAACGTATTTGGCACTCATTATGTCAGACAAGATGAGATGACTGATTTCAAAAGTGCCTCGCCTTGCCTTTTATACTCGGATGTGTCGCTTTGTTTGGACTATTGCCAAAAGAAACAGACGCCACCCCTACCGTCACGGGTTAGCAAGTTCTGTTGCGTAATTTGAGGAAGACGGAGGAGAAAAGGTCGAAAAAAGTGGTAGGAGAAGCAGATGAAGAGATGAAAGAAAAAGAAGGTGCGATTGATATCAGATGAAGAGAGGAAGACAGAAAAATGCTGGAAGGTATATGGATTGGATTGTGTAATAAGAGAGGTTGATTGCGTGCTTGGATAAAGATTAGTGGATCAGAAATGGGTTTTGAAGTGGTTTCTAAAAGAAGAAGGGAATAGTTTAGATAACAATTTCTCTGCGGAACAGTGTGGTAGAAGTTAGGAACGTTACGAACGGTATACTTTTATATTTCCTCTAATAGAAACCCACACAAACGTTGAGCTCAATTGTCTCGGTTTCTGTTTGTTGTTTATCATAACAAAGCCAATATTTTATCAGTTGAAAATGTTTTTTGATATCTGTCACAGGAATCGAGATGATTAAGATACGTTCTCTGTAACTTCAGGTCTATTATCCACTGTACAGAAAAATTCAAACTTGTTTTTTCTGGTTAATTTTTCATATATTGCATGTTTATGGACTTCTAAGGTATATGAGATACAGTTTGTCTCGGCTTGTTTCACACCTGCAAAAATATGGTCGTGGGGTGTCTAGGCTGGTGCGCCTACGGCGCGATTTAACCTAGTTTTTTTACTTTTTGGTCGCTTCTTTACTTTTTTAAAGGGTCACGTAAATCTATATTTACTTATCAAGTTTTTTCAAAAGTCGATAGAGTGACACCGGGACAGACGGACGCGTGTAGCGTTTTATATATAAGAAAGATAGTATGCCCCGACTTGTCCCACACCTGCAAAAATATGGTCGTGGGGTGTCTAAAAAATTTTTTTTCAAATGTGAAATAATGATTAGGTTTTATCGTAGAACTTTTTTAGGCACTATTTGGAACATTTTTTGTATTGGCACTATATTTATATTCTTCCATCTTCCCTGAAAAAAATTCAATTTTTTGCAAAAAAGCTATTTTTTGGACCAAAAAATGACCTTCCTGAAAAAATTTCCATTATTTTATAAAATTAAACATGAAATTCCAATTCTACATTAAAAAATACATTAGAAACTGTTTTGAGATAAAGGATAAACCTGAGCCCCCTATGAGTTTTAGGCCAAAATGTACCCAAAAATGAGGTTTCACCATGTGGGGGAGTACACGGCAACAAAAATTCGACCAAAATCGACCCTCTCCGATTTCGTTCAAATTTTCACCAGATGTTATATCTATATTTTTGATGGTTAGTATTCTGGCAAAGTTCCAGAATCCGTGCTCATCGCCTTCGTGCATTTTCAGAAGCACCAAAAAAGCGACAAAAATTGCTTCCAAGTCCATTTTCA